GGAGCGCTCCTGGGAGGCAAGGATGGCGAAGCCTCATCTTGCCTACTTTGGGCATGTTGCTAGGAAAGTCTGTTCCTTGGAGAAGGACATGATGCTTGGAAAGGCGAGGGGTGGGAGGAGGAAACGGGACAGCAAAGGAGAAGACAACCCTCAATCAGGTGGATTGACACAGTGACTGCAGCAATGGGCTCGAGTGTGTCAGATTGTGAGGCTGGCCCAGAATAGAACAGGGTTCAGATCTGTTGCTCACGGGGTTGTTATGAGGCCTACTCTATAGCACCTAACAACAACAAGGGCAATGAGGTCAGAGGGAGAAAAAGGAACGAGTAGCTGAACCTGAACTCAGTTTGACATCTGGCCAGTTAAGTTTCTTAATACAGAAACAGAAATAGCAATCCCTTCATTCTAATTATGAGGATACTACGGTGACCGAGTAGAAAAAAGCGGCAAAAAGCGGCGCTGCAATCCTGAAGCCACGAGGTTCAAATCCACCAGCTGCTCCAAGGGAGAAGGATGAGCATTCTACCCTGTGATTTGCTGCCTCTGAAAAGCCGCTGGGGGTCAGCTATGGGTCATTTCCAACTTCATGGTATACAACAAAAACATGAGGATAAACAAGTGAGATGGAAATAGCTGCAGTTTAAAAAAAAAATAAAAATAATTAAAATCTACACAATTCTCCATGGGTTGGTCAACTTTTCTATTCTCTAGGAATGATTACAGATTAATAACATGAAAGGGAGCATAAGCTCTGTTGACAACTGACTGGTGCGATTGGCACAGGACAGAGCGGAGTTTAGGGCTGTTGTACATAGGGTCGCTATGAGTAGCAGGCGACTCGACAGCACATAACAACAGAGACCTTTCCAAAGTACTGAAGAGCAACAATGTCAGTCTGGAGACTAAGGTGCGCCTGATCCAGGCCATGGTCTTGGCAATTACTTGCTATGCACTATAGAGCTGGACACTGACTAGGGATGATAGAAGGTGAGTTGATGCCTTTGAGCTGTGGTGGTAGTGAAGAGTATTGAACATACTATGGACTGCTAAAAGAACAAACAGGTTCGCCCTAAAGGTCAAAGCAAGCTGCTCCTTGGAAGCAAGGATTCTGAGGATTCATCTGACATACTCTGGGCATGCTGCAAAGAGGGACCAGTCCTTGGAGAAGGATGCCATGCTTGGGAGGGAGAGGGGACAGCACAAGAAAGGAAGACCCTCGATGAGATTCAGTGACTAGGGGTAATGGGGGTTGGTGTGTCAGAGACAGTTAAGATTGGCACAGGATAGAGTAGTGTTTAGGGCTGTTGTATATGGGGTTGCTGTAAATCGCAGGTGATTCGAAGGCACGTAACAATTATTACGAAATATCAACTCGAGAAGGAAGAGGTGACAGCTAATTTTACATTAGAGCGAAGTAGGAAAGATGAACGGGATTTCGTTTCGTAATAAGCCTGAATGAGAAAAATCTATCAACTTACGAAAACGTATATTTCTGTCTTCTTTTAGGAAAAAGCTACTTTACACAATGTTAACTAAAGGTGCAAGTCTCTTAATTTATCTTATCTGTGTAATTTCCAAAGAAACATGTCCTCCTACGAATGACAAGTGGAAATGAACAAGAGCAGTCCTTAGCCCCATTGAGTGGAAGTTTGACTCCAACTAAGAAAGGAATTAAGAAGAAAGCCTGGAGATGAACAGTCCCTAAAAACCCTTTTGAGCAGTACGACCTCTGCATCAGAAGGAATCTCTACTGGACTTGACACAAGTCTCTGTGCAAAGTGACCGCAAAAGACCCTTCTCTGCAGCAGCTGCAGCCGCAGCGCCGCCAGGGCACGAGGTGGGGGGCCGCACACAGACACCCCGGTCCGCGGGGCCGGCTCCCTGCAGGTCTCGGGTCCCTCTCCCGGCCTCGGAGAAGAGAGGCCTGGCGTACGTTGAGCAGGCGCTGAGCGGATTAGAACCCGCGCGCCGCAGGGCAGTCACGTGGACCACAGGGGGACCTCAGGGGGAGGCCAAGGAACATCAGGCGGCGGGCCTGGCCCTACCTGCCCAGCTCGCGCAGGGCCGGGATCATGGACGCCAGCTCCAAGCCCTGCTCGCTCATCGTGAAGCGGCGGCGCGCTCGTCAAGAGCCACTCAACTGCCCAACGTTCCCGCAGTTACATCTGGCGGGAGAAAAGCCGCGAACGACGGAGGCTCGGACGGCCCAAAACTCCTCCCGGAAGCGGCCGTCTGTTCTTACCCAACCCCTCCCGGTGTCCACAGGAAGCCGAGGGATCGGAATGCCGAGGGGAAAAGGGCCCGGGTGCGCGTCGGTCAACTTTCGCCGGTCCCCTTCCGGTTTAGGTCCGATCGGCAACCAGAGGACAATGAGAGCTTTAGGTCAAGAAGCTATTCTGCAATCACAGAGATACGCGGTTCAAATCCACCACCTTCTCCGAGAGAGAAAAATGGGCAATCTCGTTCCTTGCGATTACCTCGCTGTGAAAACCTGCTACGAGTCGGTTCCGACTTGATGGTACACAACAACCACAATGCTGGCTTTACCCTCCACTCGGGGAAGCTCAGGGAGCTAGAATCCCCTGAATCTGGGAAAGAGGGTTGTCAGGGACTGGCCCAGACGCCTTTTCAAAAATCTGACAGCTGAGAACATTCAACGACGAAGGGACAAGGCGAGTCTCCCCAGGGAAAGATACATCCCGTTCAATTAGTATATCAACAGGGAACTTCCAGAAATCCAAGCTCGATTCGAAAGAGAGTATGGCACAAGATGGATTATCCGTCGCTGCTGCTATCAGAAGGATATTTATTGAAACCAGAGAATACCAGAAACTTGTGTTTTATTGATTATGCAAACGCATTTGACTGTGTGGATCATAGCTAATAATAAATAACACTGAGAATTAGAATTCCAGAACACTTAATGGTGTTGATTTGAAACCTATACAAAGATCAAGAAGCGGTTATCAAAGACAAGGGAGCACTGAATGTTTAATACTAGGAATCACTGAGCAAATCATTCCAGAAGCTGAACTATATGAAGACAATGCCATCAGGATTAGAGGACTCCAATAACCTACATTATGCAGATGACACAGCCTAGCTTACAGAAACTTAAGAGGATTTGAAATCATTGCAGCAAAGTCTGCTGTCAGGGACATCTCCAGATTACTGAAGAACAATAATGTCATTCTGAAGACTAAGGTCTGCCTGATCCAGGCCATGGTCTTCACATGACCTGCGATGCATCAGAAAGCTAGACAATGACTAGCGATGATAGAAGGAGAATTGGTGCCTTTGAGCTATGGTGCTGGAGAAGATTATTGAATATATCATGTTGTTGTTGTTGTTATGTGCCGTCAAGTCGCTTGCGACTCATAGCGACCCTGTGTACAACAACCCTAAACTCCGCTCTGTCCTGTGCCAATCGCACTGTCTCTGACACTCCCATCCCAATTATCCCAGTCA